GCGCCCTGATGATCCAGAAGATGCCTTGCTGTCCACTTGCTCTAGTTTGATTGTGATTGTCAACATAGATGGCTCCGCAGTTGTTCAATTTTCCCACTTCTCTGTGAAGCAGTTTTTATTATCGAGCCGCCTCGCGGCAGCAACGGGGGGTGTCCCTCACCCTCACCTTTCCCTGAATGGCGCCAATATTACAGTCGCACAGGTCTGCCTGGGCCTTCTACTCCAGCTAGACGGAAAGGTTAACAAAAAAAGCATCGCCGACTACCCTCTTGCCGTCTATGCCGCCCAGTCCGTGCTCATTCATTCCCCAAGTAGGCCTGCCGATGAGTATATACAAGAGGCACTGAAGTGCCTCTTTGACCCAAGTAAACCGCACTTTGCTACGTGGATTTGGATATACGACGTGGATGAAAAGTCGGGAGAATCCATGACGTCAGAGACTCCATCACCGCCACGAGCGACCCCCTTATACTACGCCTCTCAGTTTAACCGTCTTGGCATAGTTCAATGGTTGTTGTCCAAGTCACACTCTAGTTTCAATAACGTCTCTGGTCACTATGGGACCCCGATGATCGCGGCATCTGCAAAAGGACATTACGATGTTTTGCAGACACTACTGGGGCATGGTGGAAAGTCATATTTATCCACCCAGTGTCCAGACGGCCGGTCCGCATTATATTCGGCATCAGAAAATGGTCATCAGAAGATTGTGGCGCTACTCCTTAAAGAAAACGCAAACGTAAATACCTGGTTTATGGACCAAGATAATCCACTCGGTGTGGCATTGCGGAAGGGCCATTCGGAAATTGTAAAACTACTGGTCGAGCGCGGCGCCAATGTGAATCACCAGAATAGGTTTGGAGAGACTCTACTTCACCATGCATCCCTCGGGAAATACGATCTAGCATTTGCGCAGCTGCTCTTAAACCGTGGTGCCAAAAATCTATACAAGATAACCGCGACCAGACCGCGCTCCAAGTAGCAAGAGCAAATGGACAAGAAGAAATTGCGCAACTATTATCGAAATAGAGTGTAACCCATGCCAGGATTGCTCCATGAGTGTACGTACGCTCCCATTTGGCTAATATGAACTAATGGAGGGTTCTCAGTTGCTATACGGAGCAGGGTACACCTTACTGATGGCGAGTAGGGGAGAAATGGTATCTTTTTGTTTGGATCCCCAATGTATCAGTGTTTTGTTTTGTTAGTTATGTTATGTCTTAGGGAGGGGCCGTGTTAAAATTGAATTCTGAACTGCGTCATTGTCGCGAAACGCTGTATATAAAAAAAATCTGATCAGCGGCCAGTTGGCTATCTTCACAAGATCATGAATGTAGTACTGCCGCAAGCCTAATGTTGGGGCTCGAGGGACTTATCTGCCTCAAAAGCAAAGACGTTTTCGATCAATATTTCCAAAGGAAAGCCATGTGCTTAAAAATGGTGACAAAAGTGGCGATGATGGGAAGAACCACAAATAAAGGCATCAATCAACTATGAGAGCAGCACTACACGCCACCACTTTTATTTGACTTCCCACGTCCGTTTCCGCGCAGTACTGACCGACTGCATACGTCTCTGTCTGAATGCCCGTCGCGCCTCCTTCTCCTTCTCGGAAAGCCGCGCCCAGCGAGCTATCAAAGCGCCACCACTTCCTGAGGTTCGGGACATGTCAGATCCGACTGAAGTCGCTGACGATACCATCGACGATGACGACGATGACAAGTGTCGATGGCGCGAACCATGCTGTCTCTTCGTAGACGTTGTACGACGGCCTCCAACGCCAATGCGCGGGACATGTGGCGTCGGTGGGAGGTGTGGTAGGCGCGGCGGTATTAGGGATGATGAGGGCAGAGGCGACCACAGAGGCGACGGCAGAGACAGCGGGGCGGCACGGATGCCTACGGAGGTTGGGACCAGGACTTTGGTAATTCCGAAGCTATTACTACTGGTGTGGGTGGTAGGCGGAGCGAAGGAATCCGGGACCCCGCGGAAGTGCACGATACCCGCACCCTCGCGCGTCTCTTCGAGCGTCCATGGCTTCGAGGCCATTGATGCCATCGATGCGGCGCGGGAGATGGCCGGCACGGTAGTTTGCCAATCGTAAGTCGCCGCTAGACTGGAGCGGTCGCGGACGCGGGCGCTTGCGGGAGCTCCAGTCGTCAATACGCCGAGGGCGCTCGCAAAGTTATTCCGTAACGAGTTGCGCCAGGTTTCAATTTGTCCTCTTTCGGAAGAACGCTCTAGGCGTTCTTTCCATCGATTATTATTCAACGGTGCTGTGGTGGTGATAGGGGCTGGCGGGGGCCGAGGGAGAGGTAGCTGGGGAGGAGGTTTTGAATGCGGTTCTGGAGGTGGCGTCGGCACAATCCAAAATACGTCGAGACCGGATCCATTCAGGCTCAAGTACCGCGGCTTAAGCATCGCACTGGACTGAAGAGGGGTGCCGACGTGGTCAAGCGCCGTTGGTGGTCGACTCGACTCGTCTCCAGAAGTGAGGATGTCGCCAGCGACGAGATTAGCGACTCGCAATGAACCAACGTCTTGCATGAGGCCAGGCACGCTCGTGTCGGAATGACGCAATTCCAACGGAAGTGGACGTACGGTGGGGTATGGACCATGCGTAAACGGAGACATGAGTGCCAGCTCTGGGAGGTGGGGCTGTTTGACCGCTCCATGTGATGAAAGAAAGTTGGTCGTGCTGCGCCGCGGCTCGCCAACGTCACTATCGCCCACTGGCTGCCACCAAGAGCTCACCCAACTCTCCCCCACCACTGACATCCCTAAAGTGGTAAACTTCTCACACGACTCAGATTTGTAATAATATTTATTTTTAAAAGGAAAATTATTGAAAATATCATTACAAATCAAAGTCATGTGACATGTAGACAAAAGGAAAGTTATTGATCTCTTTTTTTTTTAAAAAAAAAAAAAAAAAAAAAAAAAAAAAAATCAAATTTATTCATGCTTCAGGGTGTGTTCTAAATCACACAGTTACTACAGTATAGAGCAGCTATTGAGAGGGCAGTGTTAACTACTAATGAATGCAGCCTGAGGTTAGATAATTGAAACTACCTAAAGTGGTAGTTATAATTCATAGTGTTTAAAAGTCCAGTCCATTGGACTGAAAAAAGACTGCAAACCAGACCAGACTGGACTGATGGCAACTGTAGGGCTGCGCACTGTCTGTTTTACAGTGATGGCCATCCATTTGACAGTAATAAGACAGGTATGGCTGACCTGTCCACTGTCCATTTTTTGTACTCACTGGATCACTGATGGGTACAGTACAGGTACGGGTACAGCTGTTTATGGTATATGGTAGTAGACAGTAGTGATTGTCAAGGGTTTTCATACCCGCATGGGTAAGTGCCACAGGTTTTGCTGGGTATGGGTATGGGTATATGGCTCCCAACCCATGGAAACCCATACCTGTGTGGTGGTGTTACGAACCCCACTGCGTCGTCTTGTTTCTTCTTTCCCTTCACGTGACACACTGTTTGACCCCGCTTGTTCTTTGTTGACCATGTTGTGACCCCCTTTGTGCATCTTTGTTCCTTATCTTTGACCCGGGCTGTGCTTATCTCTGACTTGTATCTTACACAAGGACTCTTACATATTTTCCCACCAGAATCACGACTATACCGGATCTGTCTACGTATATTCTCACCTGGCCCACACTGACTCCGTTCCCCATTCAGACATATTACGACTTCGTTGATACATCAGGTATGATACTCCGATTCAGACTCCGACCTCTATTACGTATATAAGGCCTGCCTAGATAGCCTGTATGCCTGAGACTCGACTTCTTAATCGACTTGGTGCATTACCTTCTGGGTGATCTCTAAAGACCCGACTCTTGAATCATCTCAGTGCTTTTGGCACTTTTCCGCTCACCGGTACTAAGGGATTAGCTCCTTAGTATTGACTTCTCATCCGAACTCTGTGTACTTGAAAGACAGTGCACACCTGACTTCGTAGTTTTGCTACGTGATGTCGGAAATGGATCAATATGGCCAGGTTGGATCAATCGCTAAGTGTGTGGTACTAACAAGTGAGTTGTGTGTTGTGCAGTAGCACACGGACTGCATTTCACCTTCCTGTGAATAGTTTGATACCTTACTTGATTAGACACAATCCTTCTGAATCTTGGTTACTATAAGCACACTCGTTTACAGTATTTAAAGGACGCTTTTATTGTACAGTTCACTTCAGTTCTGACCATCATAACTGAATTACAACTACCATTCTAGGTAGTTTGGATTATCTAACCTCAGGCTGCATTCTTTATGCGACTTGTCACATGTTGTGCCAAACGCCTGCACCAGGCGTTACATTAAGTCGAGTCTCTCCCCACCGTGGCTTCATCCAGCCGCAGTCAGACCTTGCACAACGAAGAACTCATCGACCGCCGAGATGAGGATAACCTTTCACAACAAGTCCTTGGCTCTGCCATCTGGAAAGATTTTGAAACCGAGTTTGGATACTATGTCTATCACGACGACCAGTACCAGCCAGTTGAATATGATGAACAGAAATGAGTCTGGTACCATATCTGTTACTCTAGAAGCCATCATTCCTGGGTCACCACAGGACCTGCCCCACCAGAGTATGGTTTAGGACCGTGGAGAGAGAACCCTCCAGCCATCATCACAGACTCCGAAACAGAAGAATATATCGAAGAAAGCAGTGAAGACGCACAAGTCATAGCCCCTAGTTTTACGGCTCAGACAGTTGCACCCGAGAGTACTATGTTCAGAACATCTGCTTTAGTCTCTCCCCAGATCACATGACAGACCTCAGACACCCCGACCCTCACGTACCCAACAATGTCGACCATTGCTGCACAGTTACCAGACCCCGCTCCGATTATCCCTGCTCCAAACCTCCCTCCCCCATCAGGACACCTTATGGGGGTCCTGCCAACCACATGTTGGCTAAACATGCACCCCGATCAAGGGACCTTAAACAGGACCCTGGCTCACACACTAGAAAAGAAATGGCCACATTGGGGATTGAACCCAAGACCTCTGGACAAGCTGGGTCCGGTGCTCTAAACCACTGAGCTACACGGCCTCAGGTTCATAGTGGTACACAACCTCCTATATGAGGTCATGCAGAGTTGCATCATGTGACACCTGACTGTGTCAACACCACGTTCACCGGTGATCGATCTCAGAGCAAAAAGTTCATGCTCGATGTTACGTCCAGTGCGGGACGTTCCACACGACTTGTGTGACAGCGTGCTAAGCGGGTTCGGATAAGAGACCAACAAGATCCCTTGGAGTTTAGAGGTTATGAGTCAACGTCCAAGAGGCTGTACTCTAAGACGATGTTGAGCGGAAGGTGCCGAAAGCACTGAGACAGGCAGACGTCAAGAGACAAAGGGGAAGTCCAGAAGACAAGCACCGATGTATTCAATAAGTCGAGTCTGAGGTCTACAAGGTAGCTACAGTGGGCTTATATACGTAATCAAGTGGGCGTCTAAAGATAAGATAAACTAGAGTCATGTGGGCCCAAATATACGAAAGCGGAGGGCGTAAAGCCACGCTTCTGATAGGGAATTAAGTAAGTGTCCGGTCATAAAGATAAAGGATAAGAGATAAGCAATGGTAGGTCAAACATAAGTACAGCGATACAAACAGAAACAAAGACAGTCATGGGGAAGGGAGCAGGGCACGTGAGGGATCCCACGATGGAGACGTGATCTGGTAGTGGAGAGTAGGCAGCAAGGAGGGGTCGTCGTTGGGTAGGAAGAAAAAGACAGGAAGAGACGGGGTTTGTAACACTCGAGTTCGAGACGTTCAAAAACTTTAATCATGACGTCCCACAAATCATGAACCCTTTCCAACGAACCAACCTCTTCCTCTTGCTTATCAGAGGGGATTCCGTCGATGATTGGACAATGGAGCAGATCGAATGGCTGAACAATAGAGTTACAGCTGGAACCAGAACCACAGACGAGGATCTGTGGGATACAGTGGCACAAAGATTTAAAGACACCTTCACAGATGGGCAGGCCAAACAGAAGGCCGCCAGAGAATTGAAGTCCCTGAAGATGGAAAGTGTAACGCCTGGTGTGGGCGTTCATCACGACGTGTGATAAGTCGCGTAGCAAAACTACGAAGTCAGGTGTGTACTGTCTTTCAAGTACACGGAGTTCGAGTGAGAAGTCGGTACCAAGGAGCTAATCCCTTAGTATTGGTGAGCGGAAGAGTGCCAGAAGCACTGAGATGATTCAAGAGTCGGGTCTTAGGAATCACCCAGAAGGTAATGCACCAAGTCGATTAAGAAGTTGAGTCTAAGGCATACAGGCTATCTAGGCAGGCCTTATATACGTAATAGAGGTCAGAGTCTGAATCGGAGTAACGTACTCGATGTATCAACGAAGTTGTAATCTATCCTAAAAGGGGACGGAGTTGAGTGGGCCAGATGAGAATATACGTAGACGGATCCAGTATAGTCACGATTCTGGTGGGAAAATGCGTAAGAGTTCTGAGGTAAAACATGAGTCATAGATAAGTAAAAAGTCGAGTCAGAGATAAGGAACAAATATGCACAAAGGAAGTCATAATACAGTCAACAAGGGGCAAACAGAGCCAAACGAAGTGTCACGTGATGAAAAGAAAGCAAGATGATACAACGGGGTTTGTAACATTACCCCCTTTTTAAGTCCTAGCAGAGCCAGCTAGATTGGCATACCGTCATCATCCTGGACCAAGGAGAGGTAGTCGTCTGCTATGGCGTAGTGGTCCACATCGTAGTTCTCCTTTTCTTCGTCGGTGGGGCAAACGTGTGTTCATAGAAAACTGTAGGGCCCCCGTCTCCCACAGCGAAAGCAGCCATCGTAAACATGGCAGTCGATCTCTCGATGACTGGCATTATGGGAGAGACATTTGCTGCACCATCCTGAGGGGTTCTGGACGGTTGGGGCTTGCGTGAGTCGCTGGAATAAGCATTGGCAACTCCAGTGCGAAGTACTTTGGCAGTGCCGGCATCGCTTTGCAGCCTTGGGGCAACACCAGCTGAGGTGGTACTTGCTGCTACAGCGCCAGCAAAGCTTACCGTCGGGGTTTTCATGGAGGCATGGCATTTCAAAGCAGTGTGGGTTGAGCCGAGGCACGAGGTCGAGGCGGCGACGAGGGAGTGGTCGCGCAAAAATGTCGGCGTACCGTTCGGAAATAATCTGGTACGCCTCCCCTTTCTCCAACCTCGTCCTGATGCTTGCCAGGTGATGTTCTATATCGAAAACCCCTCGGTTAATTTTTACCATTTGCCGTTCGTAGTTGCGGCGCTGCATCTCCAGGTTATCCCTAAGTGCCTGGAACTTGTGGAGGCGTGCAATCTCAGCGGTTAGTCATGGCATTCGCAGGTCCCGAAGCACCTCATTGATCGCGAAGGCGCGTGGGTTGTGGGCCGAGAGGTGTTGCAAGTGTTCGGGCCCTAGGACGTAATGCAGCCGGTCGACATTCTTCTCTTCAAGATAAACTGGGGCCCCATAAATGGGCCCTCCTTTCTCTAAACATCCAGCTACATCCATACCTTTGTTGGTGTAGTAAATGTATTTGGCCACCTCCGTAGTGCCGTCATTCTTGGTCGATGGGATCATAAGTGGAAAGTAGAACTGTGAGCTGGGGTCATTGGGGAAGAAAGGGAATTCGGGGGATTTGTCACCGAAGTCTACGTCGATCAGGTCGTTGGGATGGGGATGTTCGGGCAGATTAAAATCTTCGTCGATGTCGATGATTCTGTCCCCTTGGGCCACTTGGGCGGTCGCATCGTAGTCAATAGGAGAAAGTGGGCGAGAAGGAGGATGCACAGGAGTAAGTACGGGAAACGCATCGATGGCGGCGGAGGCGTGGATCTTAGACGATGACATGGGTGAGTTTCTGATCAGTCGTGGGGGGAGAGCTGTTCCGCAACTCGTATTTTCTCCGGCTCTTTATCTGCCTCTGGGTGGCATCTATAGAAGTCTTCGATGAGTTTGGGTGCAAAGACATCTGCAGCAGGTTCCCATGAGCTGTCAGCATCTGGGAATCCCTTCCATTTGATCAAGTAATGGAGTCTTCAATTATGTCCTCGACCCTTCCATTTGGCGTCGGCAATACGTTCCACTTCCCATTCCAGTTCTCCGTCGACGAGGTCAGGGGGAGGTCTGGGAAAATTCTGTCCATGAATAGCGGTTTCCTTGTACGGCGTTAGAAGGCTAGCATGGAAGATGGGGTGTATCTTCCAGGTGGCAGGTAATGTGAGTTTGTATGTAACGTCTGAGAGCTTCTGTTCAATTACAAAGGGGCTGTGGCGTCTGGGAGCTAGTTTCGCCGTTGGATGTGATGTATGGATGTGGCACCCTTCTAGCCAGACCTGGTCCCTGACCTGATAGGGTGTAAACTTGGTGGGCTTCTCAGCCAGGGTCCTTTGTGCCTTCTGAAGATTTCTACTGGCCGATTCCTGTATCTCCTCCCATTGGTCGATATGCTGTGTCACAGATGGTACATTCGTGGGTTTGTCTGTCCATGTAGTGCGAGGGTTCCACCCCATAATGAGAGAGAAGGGAGTGGTCTTCGTCGTTCCATTTGGCCAGCTGTTGTGTGCAAACTCTGCCGTCGCCAGCCACTCTGCCCAGTCGTTCTGTCGTTCATTGCACCAAAATCGAAGGTATTGTTCTAGCCACTGGTTTGTTCGTTCCGACTGTCCATCTGTCTGAGGGTGGTATGTGGTGGATATGTTCTGCTGAATGTCGAGACGTTTGCAGAGTGCTCGGGCGAACATGGAGGCAAATTGTGGGTCTCGGTCGGAAATAATCTTCTGTGGCAGTCCATAATGGCGATAGACGTGATCTAGGTATAGTTTCGCAACTCCTTCCGCTGATATTGTCTCATTACAGGGGATGAAGAGGGCAGCCTTTGAATAGTCGTGGTCCATAATGGTGAGTATCAAGTCGTATCCTTGTGACCGTGGGAGTTTGACAATGAAGTCCATGGTGATGGTCTGAAAGGGAGCTGTTGCAATTGGCGTAATGGGCGAAAGTGCCGGCGGTCTTGGGTGAGTGTTTACTTTATTTGCCTGGCATTCTGCGCATCCCTTGACATATGCTTCTACATCTTTCTTCATGTTTGGCCACCAATAATCTCGTTTGGCAAGGGCGTATGTGTTTGCAATTCCAGGGTGTCCTGCAGAGGGAAGGTCGTGGTGAAAATGGATCACCCCCCTCTTAATGTTGTCACCACCGGTGACAACCAATTGATCGCCGTCTTTCCACCAGAGGCCGTCTTTCATCTTTATGTTATGCGGCTCTGCCCAGGATTTGCACAGTTCCTGGTTCATGTTCTGTGTCACTTGGGCCCATAAATCCATGTCATGGAGGCTGACCACAGCGGTCTTCACGAAGACATCTTCTGGTAAAACGACGATATTGTCATTGTCATTTTCCCCTTCATCTCGTCCGGTTGGTCTGGACAGGGCATCAGCTCGTGCATTACGAGCGCCAGGTAGGTGCTTGAGTGTGAAGTTGTATTCTTCAAGCTCCAAGACTTCTCGTGCTATCCATCGACTGATCTTATGCGGTTCTCTCCAGTACAAGAGGTTGGAGTGGTCGGTATAGATGATGGTCTTGTGCGGAGATCTGGCCAGGTACGGTCGCCAATGTCGTAATGCTTTAATGATAGCCAATAGCTCTCTGTCCCAAATGTCATAATTCTTTCCGCTGGTGAGAACGTTTCCGAGTAGAATGCGACAGGATGAAGAATCCCTCCGGTATCTCCTTGTGACAAGACTGCGCCATTGGCATACATGGAGGCATCAACCTCCAGTTCGAAGGGTTTGGTTAGGTCGGGTTGGATAAGAACCGGTTCGGAACTGATTATTGTTTTTATCTGGTCAAATGCCTTTTGTTGTAGTTCGTCCCAGTGCCAGGGCATGTCCTTTTTCAACAAGTCATTCAGTGGCCAGGCAATAGCTGAAAATCCCTTGACAAAGCGTCAATAGAAATTGCAAAATCCAATGAACGATCTGACGTCTTTGGTACATTGAGGGGCAGTCCATTCTCGAATGCCTTGCACTTTTACAGGGTCCAT